AGGACCCATAATCCTCATCAAGGAAATTAAGCCATGCATTGATTTTTCACCAGGATGGCACCCGCCAGCACGAGGCTGGCTGGGGAGGGGTTGCATAACCCACTTACGTGCCGCAGAGCCACGCTGCCCCGCCAGCCCTAGGGCCAGCCCGGCAGCCGGCACACCGGGGCGGCAGAAACACTCTGAAGGGACCAGACCCCCGGCACCGCTGCCAGACCCATGGGCCACCACACTGCAGGCAGCAGCTCCCTGGGCACTGCCCTGCCAGCAGCCACACTCCATAATTACTCCTTCCTGGGTGGGGAGAAATGTTTGGCTACGGGGAGAGGCCACACGGCCACGGCTGACACGGTCGGCGGGGCCGGGGCAGGCAGGGCTTGCTCCTCTCCAACCGACAGCCTCCCCACCTCGCTCCAAGGGCAGGAGCGTGGGCAGAAGCACAGGCTGCAGGAGAGGGACCCCCCTCCGCATCCTCTGTCCTCTCCACAGGCACCATGCTGCACACAAAGGCAGCAGAGGCCTCGCACCTTTGCTCTCCCCCCAGGAAAGGGCAGGGAAAAAGAAAAATAACTGCTTATGGAAGGCTGAGACACACAAGCAGCATGTCCTGTGAGTGCTCCCAGAGGCTGGGGCTGAGCCTCGGCCCCACAAGGCTGAGGAAGGCTGCATCGAGGTGACACCTGTCCCCAGAGACCAGCACCCCCCAGGCTCTGCAGAGCACCGCTGGGCTCAGCTCCCCTCCCCAAGGCTCAAACACCCCCGGATCTGCAGCCAGAGCTGGCACCAAACTGAGACACAGCATCGTGTTCTACACCCCGGGAGCTTGAAATGAGTCAGCAGGTCAGGCAAGCCAGGGTCCAGCCAGGAGAGACCAGAGTCCAAAGATTGGGGAGAAAAAAAAAAAAAAAAGGAATCATCTTTATTTGTGAAGTGTGTTAACAGATGGAACAGTTCAAAGCTACCCAGCAATAAAGGTATTAGACTGCACTGAGCGTCCGCCTGCTCTCAGGCTCCTGTCACGCAAACATCGAGATGGTGCAAGCACAAGAACACACAAACACGCCGTTAAACCGCCCCAGCCCCGCGCCCTGCCCCGCTGCAGCTACTGGGGACACACCAGCACCCCCTGAAATAAGTTAACAGTGAAATGTTCATCCAGTGTTGAGCTCTAAGGGGGGCTCCTGGCTGTCCCAGTAACCCGCAGCAGTTCTGGAGGAGCCCAGGGGGATCTGCTGAGGTGTCGGGGTGGTGGCACGGGCCCAGACCGTCCTCGCCAAGAGCCACACATGCCTGGTGGCCCCGGCCCCGTGGCTCGCAGGGGCCCTGCCGCTCCCCTGCCAGACACAGAACTACCTCCCCAAGCTGGGGGTCAGGCCGGGTCAGCTCCAGGCGGTCACCAAAGCAGCTTCCCCCAGGCCCATGCATCAGGGCAGGGCAAGAGCCCTGCCGGGGGCACTGCCCACACCACGCGAGTTCGGGTCTCACCCACAGCTCCCTGAAGGGCCCCAGACCCCGAGGGGGGGGCAAGGAGGCATTTCAGAACGGCCCTCCCCAACAGACCCTGCTCTCCCAGAGGCGAGGAAGATCCCAGCTGTGCTCCCACCCAGCCCCTCCGCACCAACACAAAGAAACCTCCAATAGAGACAGCCTGGGACCTAAACTATCAGAAACAAGGGATTTACATTTACAGGTAGAAAAACCCTCCCACAACTCTTTTTTTTTAAAAAAAAAAAAGTGTATTTTAGATTCTACAACATAAAAGTTTCCTTAGAAAGTGAATTAACTGAATCGCAAGGATGCACTAGAATATTTCATGGTGCTATTTTACCAAAAAAATTAGAAGAAAACAAAATTGTCCGGATGAATTCCTCATCTACGTGTCACCTGGCAGGAGAGAAAGAAAAGCCCATGAGATAACCCAGCTGCACCCGCGAGGCCAGGGGGCAGCCCCAACCCTCCCACACGTCAGAGCCCCCCAGGACAGCCCAGCACCCTCCCAGCACCCTCCCGCCCCTTCGGGCAGACGGGCTCCCAGTCCCACACACAGCCCCGGGCTCGGCCCTGCCCGGGCAGCGGCACCCACCTGGCCCCTGCTCTCAGTTCGCGTTTCTCTGGCGGACGTTCTTGTCCTTGTGGTTTGTGGCGTTGCTCTTCCTGGAAAGAGAAAAGGGGCCGTGAGGGAAGAGCAAGCAGAGCCACACCCTCCCCGCTGATGTAACTCAGGTCCAGAGAGATGGTTGAGGTGAGATTAGTTACCAGAACAGCGTCAGTTTGAGGCACTGGTGCCATCCCGGCTGGGGTGATTTATACACACACTAGGGTGGGGGGAGGTCTCCCACCCAGCAAGCCAGCGCATTACTCCCACACCAGCTAGTTTTGATATTCAGAGCAGACTCCCTGGAGGGATGTGACCTGGCAGTACAAGTCTGGCTAAATAGGAAAAAGCAAAGTACTTACAGTGGTGCAGAACCTCCATCATCATCTTCACGTTCAGGACAGCACAGGAAAAAGAAAGAACAGAATCAGGGAAGAGCATGTAAGAAGCCTCTGCCACCTCTTAAAACGCTGGGGGCTGCATCCCTGAGGGGTTACGGGATGCTCCCACCTGCACAGACTGAACCCAAAGGTTCTCTGGTCCACGGGCTCCTGTTTCGCCAGGGCCTGGCAGAGCCGGGGCTACCCCAGAACACCACCACCCTCCGCATGAGTTTTAAGCTGCTTCTTGTCTAAGCTTAAGCACAAACTTAGACATAAGCTCCTGTGGCTTGTGTTGGCACAGGGCAGCCTTGGCTCGGAGGATAATTAAGTCACACCCCACCCCCCCCCCCCCCATCCCAATCAGCAGGTCAGGTCTGGCAGCTCCATAAGCCTGGGACAACCCGAGATGCTACGGAACCTGAATTACGCGGGGAAGCATTGGGAGCCTCCAAAGCAGGACTGCTGCCAGCCAACTCCTGCCTGATGTTTGCACCCTGGGTATCCTCAGCACCGGCACTTAAAACCGGGGACAAGCCCCAGGTCCACTGGGGGGGTGGCATGGCCGCAGCCATCGCCCTGCAGCTCCCCCCCCCAACGGCCCACCGGCCCCCAGGTCCCAGCAGACCCCGAGAGAGGGCAGAGGGGATCAGATGAGGATGCCTGGGGAGCAAGGGTGTGACACCCTCCTCCCTCCCCCCAGGCCTTGTGAAGCCAAAATGCACGAGCTGCTCGCCACATCCCTGCTGCGGGGAAATGGCGGAGAAAACACCTGCCAATGGTGCCAAGCCCTGGGGCCGCTCACCACAGGCCAGGCCCCCACTCCGAGCACCGGAGGGCCTCGGGCACCAAGATCTGCTCACAGATGCTGAAACAATCTTCCATGGCGACATCTGAGGCAAACCCAGCAGCAGAGGAGGGGGGTGGAACAGTGGCACCAGCCAGGACACCAACACCCTCCGCAGAGTCCCCACAGCGCGACCGCAATGACACCAGGTAACGGGAGCAGCCGCTTCCTGGCCACGCGGGCCCTGCCGCCTCCTCCCAGAGGGACTCTCGGGGACAGAGGAGCCCTTCACACCAGGGAAGTGCAAGGCCGTGGGCAATTCCCGAAGGGGTGCGGAGCTGCACCCTCACCCACAGCCGAGGGCCCCGTCTTGGTCTCTCAAAGCCTCTGCTGCAGCTCCCACGGTCAGACCAACACGACCCGCACCCGGCCGGTGCCATCAGAAGCCAGATCACTCAACACTCCGGCTGTAGTTTTTTCTGCTGGAAGATGCAGCTTAAGACAACATCTGCCTTCCAGCCAAGGGTGTCAGAGGGCAAAGCATCTGCCTGGGAAAACCGCCCCGAGGCGAGTTCTGAGCCCACGGTCAGGGAAGGGTTACGAGTCCCTCCTGCACCTCCCAGGCTCAGCCCACCTGATGTGCTGTTCCCTGCAGAGGGCTCGGGGTCAGGAAGGATACCAACATTTACACTTCATTGTTAACTGGATCAGATAAGGGAGGGGCAGCTGGGCTAACACAATGCAGATTCTTACTGATAAGGAAAGGGAGGAGCCGATATTTCCAGAACAGATTAAAGATAGCGCTAGGCTTTGAGGAAGTCCCAGAGAGTCAGGATGTGTGGATCTGAGGACCGAAAACAGATCCATGAACCGAACCTGATTTAAGCTGAGCCTGGTCTCATGTAGTCACTGCCAGAGCACCAGAACAGCTCCACAACCCATCCAGAAATCAGCTCCACCAGAGCATCAGCTGCCAAAGAAAACCCAGTCCCCCAGACACCGGCATGAGGCACTTGAGCAAAGTGCAGAGGAACCGGAGAGACAAAAGGTCAGACCGACCTGTGCTAAATCTTATCTCCCTCCAGAGCCAAAAGCCCAGCTTGCTGGAGGCTGTCAAACAGTGCAATTACCTGCAGCTTCACAGCTAAAGTAGCCTGGTAAAGGACTACCCTGGTTTTACAAGCAGCGCCCCAAGCACCCTCCCTCACATTAACTCCCCCCCCTCCCCGACGGAGGGCACGCCAGGTTCTCTAGAACACTCTGCCTGCACCCTAGAAGTTACTTAGCCTCCCCAGAAAGATTTAGCCCCAGGCACCTCTTACCGTCAAGAACCTCATCTGGCTTCCTCCTCTTCTCATAGATGAAGATGATGGTGACAAGAACGAGGACTTCTGCCACAATCCCCAGGAAGGGCCAGAGTGCTGCCAGGCGGCTGCGCACGCGCAGGTTGACGACAGCACTACCGGAGCCGTAGCTGTTGGTGGCGTTGCAGTGGTAGTCGCCTGTATCCTCCTCAATGTTCAGCTTAAGGATGCGTAACTCTGTCTTGTTGCCACTGGACTTGATGATGTATCGACCAGAACCATTGACGATGAGCTGAGGGAGGGAGGAGGGAGGGGACGGAGTGCTCAGGGCAGCGCCGACGCGAGGCAGCCGCTGCAGAAACCCTCCTCGCCGTGGTGCTGAGGGGCTCTGGACCAACTCGCTCCGAGGAGACGAGCTCCGACACCTCTTTGCGGACAGCAGGATTGGCAGGAGGGGACAAAGAGCAAACCTCAGCACTTACCTCATGACCATTTCTGTACCAGGCCCAAAAGCTGACAGGGGGGAAGGAGGGATTCTTGCAGGTCAGCACGCCGGTGTCCCCCTCATTCCCATGCTCAGATTTCTTGTAGGCCATCACTTGGGGCGAAACTACGGCCAGAGAAGAAAATCAGACACCTCACAGGAAACACCTAGCAGACGGTACTCCTGCAGCCCACCTAGCCAGAATCAGGCAATATTACCCACAAAGCTTGACTTTGGCTTAAGAAATGTGTTAGCGGGTCTATTCCCCCGCTTAGCCATTGCCTGGCCTTTCCCTAGAGGAAAGCACATCAACCTGCCCCGAGACAGGCTCAGAGAGGTTTGTCCACCAGGTATGAGCCATTACTGTTGTGGGAACACGCCCACAGCAGAAGGCTGATCCCAGGCAAGCTCCAAGAGCCACAGACACCTCAGCTGCCCGACAGAGCGCAGCTGCCTCGCAGAGCCCGTCTGGCAGCACTGCAGAGTCCTGCGGCCTTATGACCAACACGGGCTAGAAGCAGCTTTTCAAGAAGCTGGAAAGACACCAAAGCAAAGTGCTCAGGAGATCACAGCTTCCCCACTTCCCCCCCTCACACCAAGAACACATGAAGTTACCTGAAATGTTCACTTGTCCTGTTATATCTGGGCTTGTTTTGTAGACACACTCATAGATGCCGGAGTGCTCCTCCAACTTCCCCTCGATTCTGCCAAAACCCAGGATGTCAGACAAGGGTCCAGCACAACTGACTGATCCAGACACCGAACCTGGACCCACAGACATCTGCAAGCATCAGCAGTCCCCTCCCTGCACAGGCCACTTCTCCCATTCCAGCACCAGTACTTACACCACACCAGGTACCTGCAGCAACCCAACCCTCGACCCTCCTCTCCCCACACACCGAGGGCAGCAGACCAGGATTTCAAGTCTGACACGGGTCTGTCAGGTCAGTGACCACTGGGGCCTCCTGATCTTGTGTCCTGAATCCTGAAAACCAGCAGCTCTCCCTCCCTAACCCAAAGCACTCTTGCTGTCAGAGCCTCTACGGAGGGAAAAAAAAAAAAACCATAAGACCTGGACTGTTAGTTAGGATTGATGAAGAAAACCAGGAGGACCAGGACAACCTCACCCCATCACCAGGTGCGGTGCCGTACGTACGCTTCAGAGGTGGCAAACTCTGCTCTTCCCCCTTGCACACAAACCCCAGGCTCATCTTAAAAAAAGATTCTGTTTGCTTAGCACCCTACTGAACAAAGCCAACAGAACGAGAAGCGCAGCAGGAGAGGCCCCGAGTTCACACAACCCAGGACGCGGCCACACGCCCCACGCGGCCCCGCGGTCCCCTCCAAGAGCCAGGCAAGGGCTGAGGAAGGACGCAGGAAAACCCGCTGCAACAAGGCACAGGGGTGGCAAAGGAACACCCGGGCTGGGTTCTCTGGGCTAATCCAAGAGTGGGGAGAACTCTCCCGTTTTCCTTTCTGTAAAGCTGCTGCAATGAGATTTAGTGGATTACGCTGCACCACAACAAACACCTCATTCTGCGCTCAGCAATGCCCACGGAAGGAAGGGGCAGGCGAAGTCTCAGTCCCATGGCTGCACCGGGACAACAGCCTGTTTGTTAGTTCTGCTGTGCACGGCGCTTCCCACTTCCAAAAAACCACTCAGCTGAGGAATTGAGGTCACGCGAGGGAGGCTGGGTTATAAATACTTTAATCCTTGTTCAGCTCTGTGTTGCTATGGGGAGACAGGCACGTCGGCACTGCGATACAAAAGGACATGATGCCTCTCCAGCGCCTGGGTCGCTGCCAGCCAGGCCCGGCTGGGCAGGGGGGGCTCCCTGCGCCACCACGATAAGGCTGCGGCCCCGCGGCGACACCCCGCAGCGGCCCCGGGGACCGAGTGCCGCTTCCCAGCTGGGTCGTCACAGCAGTTGGACTTTGGAAAGGTACATAAACCCCGGAGGCAGAGACAACACAGGCCCGAGTCTCCCGTCTCACACGCGGCCTCCTCCGGGGAGCGGGAGCCGCCGTCCTGCCCCGGGCAGGGCTCTGGCACACGGGTGTCAGCGCGGCCCCGGGCCCAGCAGCAGCCGCAGCCACGCTGCAGCCCAGAGCCCAGCGGCACCCACTGGGAACGGAACAGCCTCTTAGCGGGAGGGGATTTGCTTCCAAAACTCCCCCTTCCCTCTCCTTCTCACCTCCTCCTCCCCGTAAGGGAGGAAACGTTGGGCCTTACCAAAACTTTGTTTAGCTCATCTTATGTTCTGAGGCTTAAAAGCAAGACTGCAAGCACTCAGCTTTGGGTTCAGCTGACAGGAAACATTAACTGCCTCTGGTAAAAGCCAGTCCCCCCCATTCAGGTTCTTACCCGACCTTCCCCCGACACTCACGTGTAACTGGTGAAAGGAGTCGACTCTGTGTCCGTTTGCAGAATCTTGTCGTTGTGCACCCACTCGTGGCCCTTGATGGCAGGGTAAGGCCCCGTCATGTTACAGGTAAGGATCAGCTTGTCAGCAACCCTGTTTATGTAAGTTTTGATGTCTGGACCTGCATTTGTAAATAAATTGACCCAAGTTAACGCCTGGTATTCCAGAGGTCACGTCCCTGCCCGAGAACCTCCAACAGGTACCAACCCCGCAGCTCCACGTCTCCCTCACAGCCTTCACTTACCTGGGCAACCAGCCTCCTACCAGGACTGGTCACACAGCCCAGGAGAGCCCCGGGCCAGCAACAGGAGCGGGGCCGCCGCCGCGTGCTCCGGCCAGCTGAGGCCCCGCTCTCCCTATGATGGTGTGGCCCCAGCGGCGCCGGGCGTCCAGTCAGCAATGGAATCGGTCGCCCTGCGAAGGGCAGTTACAAGAGCGCGGCACTCGGCTCTCAGGAGCCACCAACGCTCCCGGGGCCAACCCAGGCCCTGAGCGGATCCCAACACCCCCAGGTAACCTAACGGGGGGCAGCCCAGACCCCACGGTGAGGGACAGCAAACGAGACCATATGCCAGCAGTAAGTGCATCCCCTGATGCCACCCAAGAGATCAGAGTTAAGATTTTCTCCAGGGAGAACACACAGAACCAGGACTCCAAAAGGTCCTAGGCCTCCGCGCGCCCAGCAGCAGTAAATCATGCAACATAAGATGACTCGGGCATTTCTGCTCGCGGGAGGCCGTCCAGGAAAACAGCTGCCATTAGCGGCACCATTACACAGCCCTGGTGGCACCCGGCTGCCGACCTTCCTCCCCACCGCAACCTCTGGGGAGGAACGATTTCTGCACAGGGCTGATGGGCATTTTACTTTTCCTTCTACCCAAGCTCCACTGATGAAGGTTCTGCTGGAGTTCTGTATTCCCTCGCACATTACGCTACACTGCTCTGCGAACTCCAGGATTCATGGCCAGGCCTGTGGAGGACGTTAAACCCCCTCCCCCTGCCCCAGGTTTCTACCACCCAGAGCAGCCCCTGCTTGCCCCCAGCCCCACGAGCGGAGGGGCCCGGTGGCCGCTCCCACAGGACAAGCAGCTACATCACACTCAGTGTCGCACACAGACACGGCCACTTCAAAAACGGTTGCATCTGGAGAAACTCAAAGCAAGTTTTGTTCCCCACAGCTTCTATCTCAAGCAAGAAAGCGAGCTTAAAGCACGACTGTTGAGAGGAGCAGAAGCTGTACGAGCTGTAGGGAAGGGCCGGTTTGTCAGTGGTGGTTAGGGCAGAGTCTACGCAGAATCAAGACTCGATTCCGCAAGCCAGCACAGGGACTCGGAGGCACTCAGGAATAAGCAGCAGGTTCCAGGTCTTTGGCTCCGGAAAAGGCGCGGGATTGCCGAAGGGCGTTTTGGTTGGGAAGCCACAACCCTTTTTGAGCAGGGCCAGTTCAGGTCAAGTCACGGGTGGTGAGGGAGATGACAGAGGGTGGGAGTCTCTCAGTTCTACAGCCGGGGCGGGAGGGTGAGGGGAGCTTTCGGGAGCCACAGGACACGGGTGCGGGGGTGAGCATGGCAGGAGACTCAAGACACCAGTGTCCGAGCAAGTGCCAAGGCCTCAGCATGGCCACTCACGTTCGATGACAAAAACGTTTGCCTGGGAACGGATCCACTTGACTTTGGGGCTCTTCGACAAGTGGTTGCGGTCGGGGTCGTTGCTGGCCCGGCACTCGTACATGCCTGAGTCGTCGCTTGTGAGGTTTGCGATGTAGATGGTGCTGGTGGAGTGCAGGTTGTAGGTGGCGTTGATTTTGACACGGTCCTGCCGTGCGCCATCCCAGAGCTGAGCATAGGTCTCATTTGGCTCGTTCCCCTCAAACCACCACTGGATCTCGGGGATAGGGTTACCAATCGCCTCGCAGTACAACTCGACGCTGTCCTGAGTCAGTCTCTTTTGAGACAGCGGTGACTTTATAAAACCAGCTATGAGTTGAAGAGGTATTAGTGCAAAGTGTTAGTGCAAAGCAAGAATTCACCTTCTACAAGCAAAAAAAAAAAAAAAAATATTCAGCCACTGAGAAGAGGCCACACACAATCTTAGCTCAGCACGCTCTCCCCTCCCTCCCCTCCCAGCTCTGAGCTCTGCCCAGCTCTGACGGGGCTGTTATTTTTAATTGTTGCATCTCCAGCCAACAATACCCTCTGCGCCTGCTGCAAACCCAGAGCACACAGGCCAGCACATCGTCTGCCACCATCCAGACGAGACCCCCACAGTAGCGACAGCATCGCCACCTTGTGCAGGGGGGCTCGCTGGGGCTTCTAGCCCGGGATGAAGACAAGGACAGATTTTTGTTGCAAGGGCTTATCCAGCCTCTACAGCCCCCCCACAAACCCAGCGTCCCCGTGCTGCGGGACGGGGCCCCTTGGCTCTGCGGGCGCACAGCCCGAGCCCCCCCGCAGCCTCCCTCTGGGCAGCCGTACCAGGAAAAGCGCCTCGTCCCCCCCCTCCCCCAGAGGAACAGACCCCTTCGCCCTGGCTGCACCACCCGAAGTGAGTGACCGTGAGCTGGGGGGGCGCGGGGACCACCCATCGCTGCACACGCCGGACCCTCCACCGCCCTCATGCCGCTCACTAAGGTCCCCGCAGAGACGTTAAACCGGCGTGAAGGTCACAGCTCTTCTGGGGGGAGGAACCGCTTGGAGTCTACAAGATGTTACAAGCCAGGTGAGAAAACACATCCCGTTTGTTGTCGAACAAACAGCAAAATCAGCCCCTTCATCTCAGGCGAGGTAGCACCGCAGAGCTGCACCAGCAACAAACAGCTGAAAAGCACCAGGAGCAGCTGCAGGCTGGGAGCGGGGCGTTTCTCAAACCGCTCCTGCAGCAAGAGCTTTGGAAAACAGACTGGCCAAAGGCACTGGGCTGCGGGAGGCTGAGCTGCCAACGTCCCTGGGCCGGGAGCCAGGCACAGGACAGCGGCCGGCGGCCCCCCGCGGCCCGAGCCACCGCCGGGAGCAGGACAGGGCCCGGAGCCGCGGGGGGAGGCTCCAGCCACATCGCTTCAGGAAGAGGCAACGTTCGGGCGTCAAGGTCACGGCCGTGACTCAACCTCCGTCAGGTTTAAGAAGAATTAGTTAAGCTTGCCACACGTCCTTCCTGCACCCCGGCTGCAGCTCCACAGCAGGCTGGCGGGCATCCCCCACCCAAGATGGCTCTCAGGGAAGTCATTCACTCGGTTGTAAAGCATTTGAAGTTCATGGCCACGTACAACCCTCCACGTGCGTACCGTGACGGACAGGCACAAAGGAGGTGGGTTTGGGAGCCAATTTTTTCTTTGTTTTTTGAACGTCTAAAGGTGCTTTAGTAAGAAATCCCATGACCATTTTCTGTGAGCGTAGGAACAAACCAGTATTATAAACCCAAGTTTGTCCAAACTCAAGAAAAATGCAAGTAAGTCTGCAAGGCAAGTTTCAGGAACTCTAAAATAAAGCAACTACACATTTCTGAGAGGAAAAAATCAGCTTTACATACCAAAGCTTTAAAAGTCTTAAAGAATAAACAGGCCTGGACAAGGAAGGAGAGTTCTGGCCCTCCCCTGAGGCCAAGACACTTCTAAAAGGCTGATACTGATGTTAAAGGGGGAGGCGAGAGGGGTCCCACAGGACGTGCGGGGGTATTGGCTGCGAGCAGCTTCCTCGCACACCGAGTTTCGCTTCCAGAACTGACCTGTGTGCCAGATGAGGGTGTTTTTCACATCACAGGCCTGTGATTAAACACTCCCAACCACCTCATTTTGAAGTCACGGAGCTGACTCCAGCACTTGTAGAAGCCTGTCCCATTTTAACTACAGCCTGATTTAAAATGGAAGCCAGTAAAGATCAAGGTTTTTTTCCTCACAGATACAAGGTGATTATTCGATGCTGACAAAACAAGCTGCTGCAAGGTTATTTGCTCCGAGTTAGAGGCACTTGGGCAGTTCATGCTGGAAAGTTTCAGCAAGCGCCGGGGATTATCACCTCTCTGCTCCCGTCACAAAGCGACCAGACACCCAAAATCCCGCAAATCCCGGGCACTCGAGGCCGGGGAAAGCGCCTGCGAGCCCGGGGTGCGGGGGCACGGCCAGCACCAACCCGCCGGGACCCCTCAAAGCGGCGAGGGGCTGCGAGCGGGACCGGCCCCAGGCAGGAGCCGGCGTGCGGGGCGGCGCGGACGCAGTGCGGTATCTGCGCAGGGGGTGCGGGACCAGGCGGGCCCAGATAACGTTTTCCCAAGTCAC